GCGTAATGGCTGAATAACAAATTACGGCTCGGTGGAGATGTTTGGGAGCAGGCGGCTCGGCCGGCCAGCTGCTCTCAGGGTCACTCCCCTCAGAGCTAATTTCATCTCTCGAAGCTGCAGAGGAGGAAGTGAAGCGTAGTTCATTGTCAGGGGACCGGTTCATCCCTGACGGTAAAAGGAAGCACTGACCTCATCACATATGAACCCAGCACTATCCCACTTGGTAAACATCAGGAGCGAGGTTATTACCATCATTTGGCTTCAAGCTTAAATAATTCATGTTTATTAAACGGGAATTAATGCGAAAGCAGGATCGGTAAGTCTGTTTAAATCTTGTTTCTAAACTCAGAGTCAAAGCAGGCAGCGAGCTGGTTGCAGGTTGGTACTTCCAGCCAGGAAAAAGAACATGCAAATGTCGGGCTGCTGAGCTGAAACGGTGAGCAGATGGCCTTTCCAGTGGGGGAGGGCTGTGGGGCTACAGCTTCACAGCAGTTATTTTGAGTTCTGAAAGTGATACAAAAACCAGGAACCCAAATTTTTGTGCAAATCAACAAATCAGTTCAATGTTTGAAAGAAAACAAGAAACATAACACGGACACTTGACAGCAGAGTGGTGTGTGGTCTCCTTGACTGGTGTTCTCCATTGGCAGGGTGTCTGGGTTGCTGGGAATGCAAAGACCTGACCCGTGGTTACGCAGAGCCAGCTCAGGTCCATCAGGACTTCTCTGGTGGGGCAAAGCGTCGTCCCCATGAAATGCAAGCTGGGCCTGTTGCAGAGTGAGCTCAGAAATCTCCACACGCTCCTCAGCAGTTGTGTTATTAAGTCTGATAGAAGAAGTGTGACTGGATGAACCACGTTCCTTCAGTCCATGTACTGCTTCTGGTCTTGAGCTGACACTTGGTATTTTCTGGAAAAAGAAATAGTAGGGAATATGGTGCGGTGGCAATCCAGCTGGATGTGTAGGAGCTAGGTTTGCTGCAGGAGAAGTAATAGCTCTATTACTGACATACGTAGACATGGCACTCAGGGACGTGGTTTACTGGTGGGCTTGGCAGTGTTAGGTTAATGGTTCCACTCAATGGTCATTCCACTCAATGATCTTAAAGGCCTTTTCCAACCTAAACTGATTCTATGATTCTGCTTTGAATTTTTCACTATTCATATCCTTGCCTCTTCACTATTCATATCCTTACCAGACTCTTTCCAGTGGTGCCCAGCGACAGGACAAGGGGCAACGGGCACAAACTGAAGCCTGGGAAGCTCCAGCTGAACCCGAGGAAGAACTTCTTCCCTCTGAGGGTGACGGAGCCCTGGCCCAGGCTGCCCAGAGGGGCTGTGGAGTCTCCTTCTCTGGAGATATTCCAGCCCCGCCTGGCCGCGGTGCTGTGCCCCCTGCTCTGGGTGACCCTGCTTGGGCAGGGGGTTGGGCTGGGGGACCCACAGAGGTCCCTGCCCACCCCGACCATGCTGGGATTCTGTGATTCTGTGATACCTTCCATTACTTCTGATGGTGAAGAACTGATTGTTCTTGCTAGGCTCAGTTAAAGATTTCGGGCAGCGTTTCTCTGTAGGCTGGTGACGAGAGGGAGGATGACTTCTTGCTGACTTAAGGTACCTCTGCAGAACTCCCGTCGCAGACACACCTGTATCAGCAAACCCGTACTTCTTGCTTGAGAAAGCCAAAGTTCCCGTGTCAGGACCTGCAGGCTGCGGTGGTGGGGAGATTAAGTCCTTTTAGTCTTTCCAGTGGCCCTAGCCCCAGGCATGGCCATAAGCCACACTGGGAGAGGCTCATCAGAGCTCCAAAACACTGCTGTGGGCACAGCCCATGTGCCAGGGCAGGGCACAAGACAAGCTCCTGAAGCCTGGACCTTCCCCACCACCTTTGGTTTGCTCAGCAAATCCCACCCTGTTGTGGTGGTGTGCATGACCAGATGCTGCCTTCAGAGCATCCCCCTGTAGTGCCCACGCTTGGTCCGGCGAGACTTTTGTAGGTCATGGTCACCTGGCAGCAGCCCTTGAGGCTCCTTTGCCACTTCTTGCCAACAGAGGTGGTGAGACAGAATCACAGAATCATAGAATGCTTTGGGTTGGAAAGGCCCTTTAGAGGTCATCTAGTCCACCCCCCCTGCAGTGAGCAGGGACATCTCCAACCAGATCAGGGTGCTCAGAGCCCCATCCAACCTGGCCTGGAATGGTTCAAGGGATGGGGCATCTCCCACCTCGCTGGGCAACCTGGGCCAGGGTCTCACCACCCTCATTATGAAATATTTCTTCTTCCTTACATCCAGTCTAAGATGCTGGTGAAGCTCTGGTGTCCTCAGTGCACCATCGCTCCTGAAACTTGAGCTACTGGCAGAGCTGTCAGGAAAAAGAAACATGAAACCAGGAACAGAGGCCTTTCATTTTCCATCAGTTCTTCTACCTCGGCAGATGTGCAGAGGCATTTTCTGTCTCCTCGATGAGTGCCTATGGAGGGTATTTTTGC